ATCTATAGCCTATTCCTTTCGGCAGCCGCCATCTAGAGACTACCCTCGGGCAGCCGCCATCTAGAGCGTACCTTTTGGCAGCCGCCGTCCACAGCATACATTTGGGCAGCCGACATCTAAGACCTACCTTTGGGTGGGCAGCCACCATCTAGAGCCTACCCTCAGGCAGCAGCCGTCTAGAGCCTACCTTTTGGAAGCCGCCATCTACATGGTACATTTGGGCAGCCGCCATCTTAGACCTACCTTTGGGCAGCCGCCATCTAAGACCTACTCGGGCAGCCGCCATCTAGAGCCTACCTTTTGGAAGCCGCCGTCCACAGCGTACATTTGGGCAGCCGCCATCTAATACCTACGTTTGGGCAGCCGCCATCTAAGACCTACCTTTAGGCAGCCGCCATCTACACAACCTATACATGTGAAAAACGCTACACGTGCATGTGGGCAGGATGTATCCTCCCATGGGATTCCGGCCTACCTGTCTGGAAAACCTGCGCTGTTGGCTTTGGTTGGCAATCTCGACTTTGCGTGCCTTTCTAGGTTCGCCGTCACTGTCTCACCAACCCGATATCGATTCTCTGAAACTGTAACACAATGGCAGGCAGAGAAACGCCACACTATCTGCTCGACCTCTTCCCCACGTCGGTTCCTAGACTGCACAACGTCAAGGACCATGCTCGTTCGTCTCTCTTTTGAACAGCTCCCTATATAGATGCAAACGGTGTTGCGCTAGGTGAGCGACCGACTCTTTAGCACTTCGCGAGGGTTGTTCTCATATTAGTCGTGGTGTCTCGAGGTAGAGGCTCATTAATTATTGCTAATTTGAGGCAGCGTCGAAGACGTTACGTATGCATGTGGGGAGGATGTATCCTCCCATGGGATTTCGGGATACCTGTTTGGGACACATGCGCTGTTGGCTTTGGTTGACAATCTCGACTTTGCGTGTCTTTCTGGGTTCGCCGTCACTGTCTCACCATCCTGATATCGGTTCTCTGATACCGTGAACAGAATGGCAGCCAGAAAAACCTGTCTTTCGACACTAGCCATCTACATCCTATCTTTCGGCAGCCGCCATCTATAGCCTATTCCTTTCGGCAACCGCCATCTAGAGACTACCCTCGGGCAGCCGCCATCTAGAGGGTACCTTTTGGCAGCCGCCGTCCACAGCGTACATTTGGGCAGCCGCCATCTAAGACCTACCTTTGGGCAGCCGCCATCTACACAACTTATACATGTGGAAAGCGCTACATATGCATGTGGGGAGGATGTATCCTCCCATGGGATTTTTTGCTCCTGTCTTCCAGCAGCCGCCATCTGGAGGATATCTCTTTGGGCAGCCGCCATCTAGAGCCTACCCTCGGGCAACCGCCATCTAGAGCCTACCTTTTGGCAGCCGCCTTCTACAATGGACATTTGGGAAGCCGCCGTCGAAGACGTACCTTTGGGCAGCCGCCGTCCACAGCGTACATTTGGGCAGCCGCCATCTAAGACCTACCTTTGGGCAGCCGCCATCTACGCAACCTATACATGTGGAAAGCGCTACATATGCATGTGGGGAGGATGTATCCTCCCATGGGATCTCTGGCTCCTGTCTTCCGGCAGCCGCCATCTAGAGCCTACTCTCGGGCAGCCGCCATCTAGAGCCTACCTTTTGGCAGCCGCCGTCTACAGCGTACATTTGGAAAGCCGCCATCGAAGACCTACCTTTGGGCAACCACCATCTACACAACCTTTACATGTGAGAAACGCTACATATGCATGTCGGGAGGATGTATCCTTCCATGGGATTTCGGGCTAACTGTCTGGAAAACCTGCGCTGTTGACTTTGGTTGGCAATCTCGACTTTGCGTGTCTTTCTTGGTTCGTCGTCACTGTCCCGCCAACCCGATATCGGTTCTCTGATACCATGAACACAATGGCACGCAGCAAAACGCCACACTAGTCTGCTCGACCTCTTCCCCATGTCGGTTCCTGCTGTTGGCTTTGGTTGGCAATCTTGACTGTGCGTGTCTTTCTAGGTTCGCCGTCACTGTCTCGCCAACCCGATATCGGTTCTCTGATACCGTGAACAGAATGGCAGGCAGAAAAACGCCACACTACTCTGCTCGACCTCTTCCCCATGTCGGTTCCTGAACAGGGCATCCAAAGCATTCCCAGGATAGACTGCACAACGTCAAGGACCATACTCGTTCGTCTCTCTTTTCAACAAATCCCTATATAGGTGCAAACGGTGTTGCGCTAGCTGAGCGACCGACTGTTTAGCACTTAGCGAGGGTGGTTCTCATCTTAGTCGTGGTGTCTCGAGGTAGAGGCTCATTAGTTATTGCTAATGTGATGCAGCGTCGGAGGGACTCTTGAAAGCTTTACCAGGATGTGGGTCGGATACATCCGGCTCACATTGGGGGATACCGACTGTGAGCCGGATGTATCCGACCCACATCCTGGTAAAGCTTACGCTACCCCTTCTACTACAACCCCTTTATTTGAACACGTAGCCTCGGGACCAGACTATTACTACTCATGCCTGTGGAGTAATAGTCTGGTCCCGAGGCTACGTGTTCAAATAAAGGGGTTGTAGTAGAAGGGGTAGCGTAAGTACATTTGGGTTTTGGACTACCCGTCTGGAAAACTTGCGCTGTGGGCGTCCGCTGGCAACGCTGACTTTGCCTGTTGTGTTGGGATAGTTCTTATATCAGTCGTGGTGTCTCCAGGTAGGGGCTCATAAACTGGGGCTCTTGAAAGCTTTACCAGGATGTGGGTCGGATACATCCATCTCACAGTCGGTATCCCCCAATATGTACTTACGCTACCCCTTCTACTACAACCCCTTTATTTAAACACGTAGCCTCGGGACCAGACTATTACTACTCATGCCTATGGGGAGGATACATCCTCCCCACAGGCATGAGTAGTAATAGTCTGGTCCCGAGGCTACGAGTTCAAATAAAGGGGTTGTAGTAGAAGGGGTAGCGTAAGTACATTGGGGTTTTGGACTACCCGTCTGGAAAACTTGCGCTGTGGGCGTCCGCTGGCAACGCCGACTTTGCCTGTCGTGCTGGGATAGTTCTTATATCAGTCGTGCTGTCTCTAGATAGGGGCTCATAAACTGTTGCTAACTTGATACAGCGTCACAGGGGGTTTTAAAAGTCGGACGGGGCAGTAGGCCGGATACATCCGACTTAGAGTCAGTGTAGCCCAATATGTACTTATGCCACCCCCTTCTACTAGAACCCACCTATTTACAATCGTCAGACTGCATGTCCTTGCACCTCAGTCGGATGTATTCGGCATTAAAGCGTTGTCAGCGTCTAAATCCTCCACCCTCATCGAGTTGTCCATCGGATTTGTTCGCGCTTATAAAATAACTCCCACAGTCGGCGTAACAAGGTTCGCCAGAATCTAACATATGCATGTTGACATTATCGTTTGCGACAATGATTATGAGCATTCCAACTCTCACGTATGCCTCTGTGCAAATCTTAACTCCATAGCGGCTGTGTCCTCTGTACGCAGGGCATTGCAGAAAAAAAAATTTTGTGTACGTCTCTTCTAAATTCGTCACATACGTTGTGTGCGTGTGGGCCGAAATGTGGCTGTTCATTTAGCATGGGAGGAAGTCTGCCTTCGAGTGACTTATGTGGTCAGCTTGAAGCACTTGTTGCCACACCGGCGAGCTCGTCAAATAGCATTCCATCGCCAATTTCAGAGACGTCTTCTTCGCGCAAGCGTAATAACGCTCGCCGACAAGATTGTAATTGGTTTCAAGATTGTTCAAAAACCGCTGCGCAGTCGTATACATGGAATGTTTTTTGGTCGATACGGAAGGTATGTAAGGACGGCGGTGTGCATGTGGGTGTTAGAGTTCTCCTCACATCCTGATAGCATCAACGAGACGC